TCATCGGTCGAGTGGTTGGACCGATATGCAAACTGGAAGGGGTCCAGGGAGTGGGGGAGGGCAGACTTGATATGGTGCATGACTAGCTGTTCAAAGCACTTCATGAGGATGGGGTTAAGTGCAACTGGACGGTAGTCATTGAAGCAGGATGGAGACGACTTCTTCGGGACTGGAATGATGGTGGTGGCTTTGAAGCATGTGGGGACAATAGCCTGGCTTAGCGAGATGTTGAAAATGTCTGTGAAGACATCGGTGAGTTCCACTGCACAGTCTCTCAGTACACGCCCAGGAATGTTGTCAGGACCCGGAGCTTTGCGTGCATTGATCCTGCTGAGGGATCTCCTCACGCTGTCCGGGGACAGCGTCATCACCTGGTCGCCGGGAGGAGGTGGAGTCTTCTGTGCAGTGGTGCTGTTTTGTGCCTCAAAGCGAGCGAAGAAGACGTTCAGCTCGTTCAGCAGGGAGATGGTGCTGTCACAGGTGCGTGGTGGGGGCTTGTAGTCCGTAATGGTCTGTATCCCCTGCCACAGGCTCCGAGTGTCTCTGCTGTCGCTGAAATGATGGGCTATCCTCCTGGAGTACTGTCTTTTTGCCTCTCTGATGCCGCGGGAAAGGTTGGCCCTAGCTGTCTTCAAGCCCACCTCATCTCCAGCTCTGAAGGCAGCGTTCCGCGTCTTCAGGAGTCCGTAGACCTCCCCTGTTAGCCACGGCTTCTGGTTGGCCCGGACAGTGATGGTCTTTGTGACTGTTACATCATCAATGCACTTGGTGATGTAGGCAGTGACAGTCTCTGAGTACTCCTGGAGGTCTGTGGTGTTATTGTATGTGGCAGCCTGCTTAAACATATTCCAGTCAGTGGTGTTAAAACAGTCTTGAAGAGCCTCTGACGACCCTTCCGGCCACACTTGTATCAGTTTGTGAACTGGTTTGGTGACTTTAACGAGTGGTCTGTATGCAGGCATTAGCATGACAGTGATGTGGTCTGAGGCACCGAGGTGGGGGAGGGGGAGGGCCTTGTAAGCTCCTCTCTGTGTGGTGTAAACAAAGTCCAGAGTGTGTGAAAAAAAAACACATACTAATGATCAAAGATTTAATAGACCTCTCTTAAACTATAAATCAAACATTTTCAACTAAAAGTTCATAAATTAAACAAATAGCACACCCATTTTTAATAATTCTTGTTCTACTTGTAATCTAGCGCCATCTAAAATCGCCTTGGATACCCCTATATGGCAGTCACATTGGCAGTTGCATTAGTGTAAAAGTAAAAGCATCATTACTATTTATTTGAATTAGAAATTATGAATTGAACTTAAATGATTTTGCATTAAATGCATTCAAATTAATATATGAAGTTGGTTTAACCTGCTTTTAAAGAGCATTTCTTATTTGAGGAGTTTGCATCAGTTTTTTCTTTATGTCCCCTGATGAAACCTCCAGGGTCAGATGACCTATTTACAAAGTTTACACCTTAAAACAACAGGAACTGGAGACTCTATTCTTTGACTCTAAATATAAAGCAACAAAGAAGAGACATCTCAGTTTTTTTCTTGCCAAATATTGTCAAAACACCTGGTTTTATAGTTTTAATGATTTATATTTTTGTGTAGTCATCCTCTGTACCTTGAGAAAAATCATCATTCTCTTCCAGCATGTCATCTTCCTGGAGCACTACCATACATCCATTTTCCCTCACAAACATTGAGAGAATAATTTCACCTTTCTCAATGAAATACGTCTTTGCTCCTGCCTTTTTAATGATCAGTGTGTCCGTTTAGAGAGCATCTGCCAAGGTCTGAAAGAAAGTCACAGCTGGCTGGACAAATGTATGCACTCCAGACAGTTTGATCCTGGGTCTCTTTGGATCAAAACTCACTTGTCTTTCACCTCATTAGTCTTTTATGAATTCAGCCACTGCATGTGATTTGACATGAACAGTTTCTTCAACTGTAGTCTGTGATTTATTGCTTTTTTTCCTTCTGTTTAAAATTGTACAAAATATTTAGTCAAAACAAGATCACTGCTAGAAATTTAAGATGTTTAACTGTAACCATGGGCACAACAGTGGGCCTCAAGCTATCAGATTCATCTGCACAGAATAGCTGAGCCAAACTAATGCAATTACCAAAACAATGTTCCCCTGCAAGTAATTTGTAGATTTTATGTTTCATCCGCCAGAGGACAAAAAGTTACATAGTCTAGCTTTAAAAGATTTGTCCAAAAACACCAATTAATTAATTAACCTAATAACTCTAGTTCATGTTCACTGGCACTGAGTAAGCAGACCTGGGATGTGTTTCCCAAACAATGACATAACTCACTGCTTATC